GGACCTGTCTGGGAGCTGCCCCCGGCTGCAGCCAAGAAAGAGCTGGTGTTTCTGGGTGAGACGGGCTCCCTGTGGGCAGGTCAGCTCACCACCAGGCACTGTGGGGTCTGTGTGCACAACCAGAAGTGCGGTAGAGCCATGGAGTGTGTGCGTGCGTGCGTGCGTGCACGTGTGAGGCTGCGTATCTAGGAAGGCACACATTGTAAGAGTTGAGAGAGGCAGACAAAAGTGTCTGAACTGTAACATTTTCCCGGCAGCACCAAGGGCAGGAACTGCAGTGAGTCCTGGTCACTGGGGCCGTGTTGCCCCTCTTCCTCATCTGACCCCTCCCCAGTAAGACCCCCTCAGATTTTTCCGTGAGCTTTTTAAAAGTTTCCCGGTCTATTACATAAGTAGTCTATGCACCTGTTCATGTGATAAGGATGCGTCTCATGTCCGGTCAAATTGTTCAGCAATTACTTGTCCTTTTCAGTGATTGGAACTTTTGGTGCAGTCACGCTTATCTACTTACAAGCTTGACAATCTGCATCTGGAATACTTCGGTCTTTGGCTGTGCCCAGGTAGAATGGTCTCCTACATTTCTTATAGTCCCTTTATCTTTGATCATAATGGTCATTTTCATTCATATGACTAAGCATACAATTTTCATTAATATGGCTTAGACCATATAATCTCATCACATTAGCTCAGCTACCTTTTATCAGACATGCAAAACTACTCGCAGTCAATCTCCCTGTAACTAAGAAAGATATATCGCCAGGTTACAGCTCATGGCCTGCTATGCCACTCATGCTAAGCAAGTTAACCCCTCATGCTAACCAGAACACCTTCCTCTTTCTCCCTTTCTTATCTCTCTGTATCACCGTCCCTCTCCCTGTTCCTGCCTTTCTCTGACAATCTGGGTCCTCCCCTGTCCTCCTTCCTGTCTGTCTTTTTTCTCTCTCTATCCCTCTCTCTGTGATGCTTCTTTCTCCATCTGTGTCCTGCTCCCTGATCCTTTCTTTCTCTTGCTGCCTCCCTGTTTTGTTTCTTCTCCCATCTCTTTGGTCTTTATTTTTCAGTCCCACTGCCTGTCCCATTGTTTCTTGTATACCTCCTGTCCAGCCAGCTCTTGCTTTTTGTGTTCTGTTTTCCTTGGTCCTGCTTCTTGTCCTTTCTTTCCTTTTCCTTTGTCCCTCTCCTCCAGCCCATCACTGATAATTTTCCCCTTGGTCTCTTTGTCTAGATCTGACTTTCTTGTTATTTCTAAGTAATCTTTGTCCTGGTCACTGTTCTCTTTTGGTCTGTAGGTCCGGTTCCCTGTCCTGATCTTTTTCTATCCCTCCTTCTTTTTATTTCTTCCCCTACTTTTTCTATTCCCCTGTGCTGCTCCCCAACCTTACTTTTTCTTCATCTCTCTGTAAGACTCCTTGTGTCTGTTTTTCTTCATTTCTCCATCTCTCTGGCCTTATCCGTGAACCTCTCTTTCTCTCTTGGCTCCTTGGTCTTTTGCCTCATCTTATTTTTCCCCTTCGAGTCCTTCTCCCCATCAGCTTAACCTGAACAACCAGGTGTTCCTGTGCTTAATGGACTTGAACACCACCAGACTGACTGCTTATGGTTTTCTTCCCCAGCTCCAGTTCCAATCTGTGTCCTTGGTGCAAATAAACAAGAGACCTTGAGCTATTTTCCAGATGTCAGTGTCTGCTGGTTAGTGAAGAACATCCTTTGGTCAGGTAACAGTCCAGTTTGTCTGTGACTGGGGTGTGCACTTCCATGATGGGACTTCTGTGAATGTTTTCTGGTCTTGTCTCATCAAAGTCCTTCTTTATCTGGAAACTTTTAAGACAGCATTTCTTATTCTGGGGCTCGGACTGGAGTTGACTTAATGCTGAATGGCTAATATAATGGGCTGCATCAGACGTGAGAGAGAATTTTGTACCAGGCTCTGAACTTCAGCAAGCAAAAGGAAGAGTGGGTCAAAGAGCCTGCTCTTTGAGAGTAACGTGTTCCTGTAGCATGCCTGACTTTGGTGAATGTTTCCTGCCTGTAGTATGGTTTTGCTGAACTGTTCTGTTTGGATAACTGGATGTCATATACCACCTGACCTGTTATAGGATGGCTTTTCCTTCCCTACAGAGCCTCTTAGCAGCATCCCAGGACAGACAACACAAGGCACACAGAGAAAAAAGTAAGGACACAGAAGTATTAGCTCCAAGCAGTGCTGGTTACAAACTGGACCTCTCAGGATCAGACTAGAAATGGAGAGGGTGAAAAACAGGACAAGGCAAAGCATATGGAACAAGAAAAAGAGGAAGGAAATTAAAGAGAAGGGAGAAAATCTGAAAGAGAAGGTAGCAGAAGGAGTTGGGTTTCAAAACATGCTTTCTGGTTTTGTGAATATGTCTTTTAATGCACCAATATCTCCAGGTGTCACTCTGCAGACCTAGAAGGACTGGTGTGCAGGTCCCACGTGGTAGATGTTAGCACTGGTCTTCCAGATACAGCTTGGGGCAACAGCCTCCACATCTGAAGGGAGAATTGATTTACTTGGAGGTTTTTCCCAGCACAAACACAAATTATTTCCTTCCTAAATTGAGGAGGGAGGGGGGCTAGGATGCAGAAATCTTTTAGCTAGAACTTCAGTGGGTGGACAAGCCTGTTGCACTGTAGGGGGGAAGGTCACATAAAGGCAGGCTGCCTTTTAATCCAGTAGAAATAGAGCAGGTTTTGTTGATCTCTGTCACTGAGGATCATAGAGGAATTTGGAGTCTCCCAGCCATACCCTGCAGCATTTTATATTCACCGCTCACCTACATTCTGCCTAAAATCCCATCAATTCCCCCCTCATTGTGTCCTTCCTTGCAACTCCTCACTCCAGGTTGTTGATGGTTTATTAATAGCACACTTAGAGTTGTCAACACAAGCCAGAGGACAATTGCGTGTGTCATATTGTCCCAGTGCATCCTGGGAACTCCATCTGGCTCAAGCAAACTTATTTTACTGAAATAAACTCTTCTTCCTTCTGAGAGGAATAAAGTCCATTTGTGTAAAGAGAGGAAAAGAGAAGACGGGCTGTCTCCACCGGCAGCACAAAGGACGTTTTAATGGTCCCACTGGGCCTCGCCTTGGGCTGAGACTGTGACCCATCAGGAAGCCTACACCCAACAGTATATGAATGTGCACGCTAGCTCTAAAACACCTACTTGCTGGCAAGCAAGTGTGAGAGATCTTCCTCTGTCTGGCTCTGCTAAGGATATTTTACCTCTTCCTTTCTGCTTTTAGAAAAGACAAATCACTTTTTATTTGGACCTAACAGAGCATACACCTTGCAGTCAAATCTGCGTTAACAGAATATTTTCCTCTTCCCTATTTCTTTTACACTGACAAGAGAAGAAACACCAATGCTCACAGCATGCTAAGATGTGAGTGGCAAGGTAAGAACAGGACTGGAACGAAAATTTCTGTGAGGAGTAGAAACGCATATATTTGACATACTTTTTACCTTTGCTTTACTGGGGAGAGAGAATTCTCACTTTGCGCCCTGCCAGTATAACAATACAGGTCTTCTTGAAAGTCTCTGGTTTAGGAGTTTCTTTTTTTTTTTTTCCCCCCCAAATTTTGAAACTTGGGTTTGCAAGCTTTCTAAGTTGTGGTTTTCTTGTCTTGCTAAGGTTCTGTTTGACATTTGACATATTTACCATCAGAACAAACTATGTAATTTGAGGTAATCATTTACAAAATCAAAAAACACCCTACAGATGACAGTCTAAGAAAAAATAATGTGCCAGAAATGGCATGGTGTTAAAATGATCTTTGAAAAATGCAGAAATTCAAGGGGCACCTGGACAAAGCTGTTAGTTGTCTGATTTAGTTCTAGGTAGTCCTGCAATGATCTAGGAGTTGCACTTGATTATCTTTATTGGTCCCTTCTGACAAGAGATATTCGATGATTTTATGCTTCTATGAAAATGTGCAAGGAGAAAAATGTTTTCTTTTGCCTACTATGGGGGCAGAGGGAGGGACACGACACAAAGTTTTCAGGTTAAATTACAATGGGAAAACTTGGATTAATCTTTCAGAAAACTTCATCACATGAGCTTTGCAAGAAGAAACAAAGGTACAATGGGACATCTACGGTAGCAGATTAGACCAATGTTTCAAGTAGTTACGTAAGTAGAATTCATTCTTTCTTGAAAAAGTGAAATGGACAAAACCAGTCCTTCCAAGGCCCATTTCTAACTCTTTATTCCTTGGAACAGAAAACTTATTTTTAGACTTCATAAGCAGACTCTGTCTGAAAATTCAGCTGATTATAATTCTCATTTTATTCTCAGATTTGTGGAAGTAACAGCACAGCACAACTTCTGCTCACTTACCGCCTGAAATGCCATTAATGTTTACAGCTGAGCTTTCCCAAACCCCTAGCTTTGGTCTGCTCCTTGGTGTTACTGCCCCAGAATAGCATTTTGTTGTAGTGATAAGGTACACATTTCTGTCCCCAGTTCTTCTCTTTGAGAGATTTTTGTAATGCAAAAATGTACAAAGCTAACTATCCGGATGATGCCTGTATCTAATGGGAAAAAAATAAGCATCTCAAGCCATGCTTGAGTAGATATCTGAAATAGGTTAGATGAAGAAAATACTGTGGAGTTGGTACCCGCTGGGCTGATTCCCACCTTAGAAGTTAAACTAAATATTTGGGGAGACAGAGATAGTGAGAGCTGCAGGAATAAGTGTGATTTGTTAACCTGTGCTCCTTCAGAGCACACAGAAGGAATACAAGCCTTTGAAAGGCGGGAAATGCCTGTGACAGAGTTTGAGTTCGGAACTTGAAAAACATGAATAGGAAGGTACACAGGTCAGCCTGTTGAGAGCCGGTTTGACCCACTGACAGTCAGCTTCTCTTTGTCTTGTCATTTGCAGTGTAATCTTGGCTTTCCCACCTGCGCCAGATGGCAGACAGGAATCACAGTGTGGTAACTGAGTTTATCTTGTCGGGATTCACAGACAACCTGAAGTTGCAAGTCTCTTCCTGGTGTTTCTGCTGATCTACCTGTTAACTCTAGTGGGAAATCTGGGGATGGTTGTGCTCATCTGGATGGACTCCAGGCTGCACACCCCCATGTACTTCTTCATCAGCAGCCTTTCCTTCTTAGACGTCAGCTATTCCACCATCATTATACCTAGCACGCTCATGACCTTGGTGGCTGAGAGAAAAGTCGTATCCTACACAGCGTGCACAGCTCAGCTCTTCCTGTTCTGCATTGCAGTGACAGGAGAGTGCTATCTTCTGGCTGTGATGGCATGTGACCGGTTTATAGCCATCTGCAACCCCTTGCTCTACCCTGTCATAATGTCCAAGAGGTTTTGCATGCTCCTCGTGTGTGGTGCCTACTTCATGAGCAGCTTGAATGCAACCATTCAGACATTATTTATATTCCACCTCTCTTTCTGCAGTTCCAACATCATCAATAATTTCTTCTGTGATATGCCTCCCATCCTGAAGCTCTCCTGCTCTGACACTCACATCACTGACCTCGTTCACTTCACTTGTTCTGCTGTGCTTGTCATTTCAACCATGCTCCTCATTCTCATCTCTTACATCTGCATTGGCATTACCATCCACAAGATTAAATCTCCCAAAGGCAGACACAAGGCCTTCTCCACCTGTGCATCCCACCTGACTGCTGTCACCATGTTCTATGGGACAGGCTCCTTCATGTACTTACGGCCCAGTTCAAAATACTCCATGGAGCATGACAAGATCATCTCTGTGTTTTATACTCTGACAATTCCCATGCTGAACCCTATGATTTATAGCCTGAGGAACAAGGAAGTCAAAAAAGCCCTTCGAAGGACGCTAGCAAGACTATATTGCTCTCCCTGTGTACTACAGAGATTCAGGAGTCCGAGAAGGACACGAAGAGGCTGAGAACTGCCCAAAGACAACATGCAACTAGGTTAGTTTCCCTCAGCAAGGAGAAAGGATAAAGGAGCAATATCTAAGACTGTGTGTTGCATCCCCCTAAAAGCAGGATGTGTCAGGAACTCACTTTTCAGATGCTGACAGTCAATGCTTTGTAACATAGCAGTGCCCCACATCTAATCTCATCTTGCGACTTCTGCACCTACAGACAGTCAGACAGGACCTTTGAGTTTGCTTGTAGGCATTTCTGTTAAGTTTTGGTTGGTTTGGTTTGGATGGTTGTTAGGCCTTTTTTCTATTTAAAAGATGAAAATAGCAGAATTGATTTCAAATTTTGAGATATTTTCTGTGTAGAAGATGAGTACCTTGGTGGCAAGGGGAAACCTTCAGGTTAACTTGTGGCTGAGAATGAGTCTTTTGTGAAACTTTTTCCCAAAGTACTTTTGGGAATTGGATCAGTGCATATCCCTTTGCCCAGGGCTCCTGAGTAACTCAATCCTAATGGTCATGCTGTCCATGCTAGCCCCATTAGGATAGTGCAACTCTAAGATGAAAGGGTATATAATCTGAGGTATGTACCTCAGTTTATTATGTGAGAAAGCACCAGGAAATGATGCATGGACATAAACACTGATGTGGTTTAAAATGGTAACATTACAGCAAAGTGGGGAAAGTATGTGGCAGCAGAAGTCCAAAAAAGCACGGGCAGATTATGGAGATGATTGGCCTTTATGGAGTCCTACAAATCCAAGAGTTATTAAGAATACAACGAGATAGTCCAAGAAGAACTGTTTTGTTTTTTTTTTATTGTGATGATCTGAGTATCAGCAGTGTAAGTAACTTATCTTCCCTATAGGTACCATTAAAGTATGTTATCCTGTCGCAAACAGAAAAAAGGGAGAGGGAGGGGTGGAAATAAAGGAAAACTGAAGTGGCAGTCAGTCAGAAGCTCCACTACTGCAGTGTACCACCTTAAAAGATTTTAGATTCATGCTTTGAACCAGTCAGTTGCTGGGGCTGCCTCTTGATCAGCCCTGAATCTAATCAGCATGGCCTGGAGGAGGACAATAAGCTTTCATTTCTGACCATATCACAAGTGTCAAAACTTCTTCCGCATTCAAAGAAGCCATCCACGTTTTCACTAAAATCGATGAGAGGTCACTGTAATAGAATTGTACAACTCTGGCAACATCTTAAACATTATACATCCAACATTTCCATTTAAATAAAAAAAGTCGGATTATACCCCATTTCCCCCTCTCAATCAAGGTGGAGGCCACTCGATTTCTGCCATCTGATACGGGAAAGCACATATGCTCCCTCTGTAGGATCTTGCAGGATAGAGACGTCTTGTTGCTGTTAAGAAATTGGACAACTTGTTACTCAGAGACCATGAAGTCAATAGAAGAGTTTATATATGGGTGCATTGTCAGTAGATTTGAAATTAAAGCTTGAACTTCATGAGCTATGTGGAGGGATGTTTGCGTCAAAAAGGAGTTATTCACACTGCTTAGCTCGGTGATAAACTTCTAGAGGACTAATGTTGAAGTCACACTTCAAAAAAAAGGATGAGATGAAAGATACTGGTTTATGACGTCCCCAGCACCGGAAGGGTGCCCTGGCTCCGGTGTCTGCAGCCAGTGTGCAGTTCCAGGATCAGAGAGAGGTCTGAAAAACCAATTGACAAAGCAAATCAGCTCAGGTGTGGTGGTGAACACACTCTTACTCCCCACCTTGTGCCCATTGCAATGTTGTTGGCAGCCACTGAGTTCTTGTTTAGTTACAGGAATGCAGTAGAATGGAACATTTCGGTATTTTCTGACCTTGATACTTGAGGCAGTGAGTTGAGGCAGTCTAGTGCCTTCTGGTTATGAGTACCACAAATCAGGGAGACCAGGCATTCTCTAACTACAGCTGGAACTCCTGCTATCTGGGAAACATACTCACAACCTCTCCTGTCTGGATCAGAGCCCACTTTGAAGAATGTCAAGGTTGGCTGACAAGAATTATGTATATAAAGAAAATGTAGTGACTAAAGTCAATCCTCCTGCAACCTTATCAATCCCCATCCTAAGTGAAGCCCATTGGGTCCCTCTGGGATTGCAGAGGGTTGTGTCTCGGAATCTCCCTCTGAGCTGGGACACCACTCAGGACAGACTTTGACCAGTCACCTGCGAATACCAGTGAAGGGAATATCATCCATCTGGAAAGACCAACTGTAGTGGTTTGACCCTGGCCACAGCCCGGTGCCCACACAGCCGCTCTGTCACTCCCCCTTCTCTGCTAGAGAGGGAGAGAAAATGTATCGAAGAGCCCCTGGATTGAGATAAGGACAGGGAGATCACCCACATCTACCATCCTGGGCAAAACAGACTCGATTTTAGGGAAATTAGTTAAATTTATTAAAGAACAAATCAGAGAAGAGTAGTGAGAAATAAAAACAGATCTTAAAAAAAATAACACCTTCCCCCCATCCCTCCCTTCCTTCCGGGCAGAACATCGATCCCAGTTTATCCACCTCCCCTCAGTGACCGGCGCAGGGGGACAGGGAATGGGGGTTGCAATCAGTTCATCCGACGTTGGTTCCACCGCTGCTTCTTCCTCTGGGGGAGGACTCCTGGGGGAGGACTCCTCACTCTTCCCCTGGCCCACTGTGGAGTCCCTCTCACAGGAGACAATCCTCACACACTTTTCTCCAATGTGAGTCCTCTCACAAAGAGCAACTCGTAACAAGAATGGATGGAATCTTTCTCAGATCCCAATCATTAGGAAAAGGAAAACAATATAAAAAGTGTGCTTAACACACTTGACCCATGATCCGTCAGCTTTATACTGAAAATGACGTATATGGAATGGATACTCTTGTTGGTCTCCTGTCCTGTCCATTACTCCTGGGACATGATAACTTTTACTTCCTGACACCCACAAACATGTTACACAAGACCTAGCAGGGGCCTTAGGTATTCTAACAGTAAGTATCATCAAGAGCCTCTCTGCATCCCCACCCCTGGTAGCAACTATAAACATCAGGCGTTATCACTTCTGGCAGTAGGCACCGTCTGCAAAAACACACAGTTAACTTCAGACAGTGCAGTCTCTTAGAAAAGGCTCAGCTGAGAAGTAAAATCATGGAATGGAATTGGTTCTGTTTAGCTCAGACCAGAACTGGGAATGCAACAGAACTGCTGCTCTTCTGTTCTCTAAATCTGACAGACCTGAATGAGCTCAGTCACAGAACAAGCTGTTCTGTGTTTCCTTGGGTCACCTTTCTGACAGAACATGGATGAGCTAATCTGGAGCTAATTTGTGCTGCTGCTGTGTTAGGGCACAGCCAGGTACTGGATTCAGCTGGAACACCTTATAAATACACCTCTTGGGACACCGAGGTAATGAATACCCCACTGCCTCTCCTTTTCTCACAGACACCCATGAATTCCCCTTGGCAGCACCAGTGTCCATTACCCAGTACGTGGGTATCACTGATGCACAACTGATGCGTGGAAAAAGAAGAGGCGTTACCTTGCCTGTGTTACCGACAAATCCTTCAGGGTCTGAACCCTGTTCGACCGTCACAAGTCACTCAGTTCTTTGGCCTTGAGGACTCTGTCTCACTCACTGGTTACTCCTCAACTGGAGCAGCAGAGAAAATACTCCTTGGTGTCTGCATCTCTATCTCAGTGTTGCTCCACAGGCAGGCAGAAATCACCTTGAGGATGACCAAAGTGTGTGTGTTGGGATGTGCGTTACAGCTGTTGCCTGTGTGTGTGGTGGAGGGCACAAGGTAAGAGCGAGCACGTGGGAGGTGCTGTCACCAGTTCCTGAGTACTTCTCTCTGTCACACTGACAACATCTTTCTGGCAGATCTTTCTGGAAACAGCCTATATCTGGGAAACAAAGCAACTAAAGCCCGACAACACTGTTGATGGTTTGGTGGTTTTTTTTCCGATGGACCTCACCCATGTCACTTCACCTAAACTCCTGTTGTCAAAGGCAGGATTTCACAGTCATGCTTGATCCATGCAATGGAGCAAAATGCAAAAACTTACACAGTTTATGTTAGTGTGTCTCCAAGAGTTCGCAAGCTCCCCTGATGTTCCCTTCTGACTCTGTTAGGTGGTCTCATCGATGTATCTCAGCTGTAAGTTGTTACTTAGATGTCACAAGAGCAATCTGCATCTCTGTCAGTTCTGAGAACTGCAGAGGCTGAAATGGACAACCCGAGTTGATTTCCATTTGTCATTTTGCAAAAAATTACTTCCAAGACCATCTGCAAGAATAACGCTCTCAGACAAGATGGGAAGTTGTGGCAGAAACATTTGAAGTAAATCACATAGCAAACAGCGCAGGATTCTCTGGAGTAACGAGATCCCAGAAGCATAGGAGGATTTCTTTGTCAGAAATCCCTAATGAGGAGCTAACAATGGATGGCTTTTAGGGTAGTTGCTGAACAGTGGTTGTGGCAGGTGCACTCCCCAGTGTCTGGACTGTCTCCCATCACAGCCCTTGCCAGGCGGATTTCAGAGAAACTGCTAGAAGTTTCTGGCTAGGGTGGGTCTAGCCCACCAGCCTGGATGTACACCCAAGAATTTGGCTGGTAGCCAATGGGCGGATGATGCAACTTTAAATGGCCCCAGCTCAGATCCTACTGAGCTTTAAAACAGGGTCTTGCTGTTGGTGTGTGTGAGGCAGTCTGTTGGGAGTTGCAGGTCTTGTGGTTGGGGCAGAGCCTCCTCCTTGGTCTGGGATGCTGGCCAGGGGACCTCTTGGAGGTTGAGGACCTAGAGGTCCAGTGTCCTCAGGTACCTATGTTGAGGTATGCTAATGAGTCCCTTAAAATTAGTAACACTTCCTAAATATTTAATCTCCAACTAAAAATCTATAACGACGAATCATATACAGCACATTTCTTGGGAGCACTAGTTTTCAAGATGTTTAATGAACTAAATGATGGAGTAAATACAGCATATGTTTTCATATACCAACAACATTCTAAGGTAGAAGAGCAG